CGCAGCCGCCGCTCTCACGAAGCTGCGACAGCGTGGCGTCCAGCGCGTCGTGGCCGCCTTCCGTCGCGTCGGTCGGCGACAGCTTGCTTGAGGACGGTGCCGACGTGCGGGCAGTGCAGCGAGATGTGACCCTGCGCAGTCTGCTAGACACACTTGCTGCTTCTGCTGCTTGTAGCAGTGTGCCGGAGAGAGTGCTGCATCCTCTATTGCCAGCAGCAGCAGTAACAACAGCAGGAGGTGTGGTGCTGGCGTCAGCGCAGCAACACGAATCACACGAATCGGGCGCTGCAGCGAGTGCGTCAGCACAACAAACGCTTCTACCGCTAGCAGTAGAGCTTTGTCGCGTGGTACGCCCCTTCGCGCGACGGCTGCTGCTGCTGCTCACACAGGAGAGCGGTGGCCACGCCAGCGTGACACCCAACACATGCGCGGAAGCTGTCAACTGCGTCTTAGAGTCGGAAGGGGTTCGGGGCGTGCGTGCAACGCGACGTCTCTGCCGTCACATCGCCGTAATGCACGGCGTGTTGGAGGATGAGGGGCAGAGAAACGAGACGGTGCCATACGCCAGTTTTGTGGCCAGCGTGGTGCAGTTGGCGGAAGAGGCGTGAGCGGGGCGCCCTCCACTTGATACAGCCCCTTGTGGCCGTGTGTATCGTTGCGATGGATGCGTCTCTGTGTGTGTTCACGTGGAGGGAGCTCCCTGCTTTCTGGTGCCATCCTCGAAGAGCTGCCATATGCTCTATTTCTTTCCTTTGCTTGGTGCTTATTGTTGTGCACAGGAGCAGGAGAAGGCAGAAAAAAAAAAGGGAGTGCGGCAGTGGAGTGCGATAGATAGCTTAGGTGGGAGTCATCGGCACTACTGCCTCGTTGCACAAGGAGTTATGCATTCCCCCACGCGTCTGGGAACCGGCGGTGGCGGCGACGACGCTGTCGCTGCTGCTACACCTGTCTCTTCGTTATCGGCGTGGCGAGTTGCGGCGGAGCTGCTGGCCGCCCACAGCAGCAGCAGCAACAACAGGAACATAGGAAGTGGCAGCCCACATGAGTCGCCCGTGGAAGGTGCACGAGCACGGGAGCGAACGACGGAGCCGAGCCACGATAGCCCAGCTAGTGAAAACAAGAAGCAACAGCAGCAGCGCAAGCAGGAAGATGTGTCACATTTTGACACGTACTCCGGCACGTCTCCACTGCAGCGGTACATGACACAAACGCCCTTGTCCCCAGCATCCTCCAAGGTACTGCAGCTTGCCTCCGTTACGATACGCAAGCGGCAGGCGGAGCTGCTGCAGCGTGAGGAGACCGTCCTGCGCCGCGAGGCGGCGGTCCGCGCACGTGAGGGGCAACTGGCCCAGCAGGAGGAGCAGCTGCGCCTGACACAAGAGCGCCTGGGGCCGAAGATGGCCACCGACGCGTACCGACAGCAGCTACACGACGTGAAGCGCGAGCTGGACGCGCGGGAACAGGAGTTGACCTACCGCATCGCCGCGCAGAAGCAGGAGCGAGAGCGCCTCGCCGCCCATTCGGCCGAGCTCGATGCACGCGAGCGGGAGTTGGAGGAGGAGCAGGAGCGGCTGCTGAGCGACACACGCGTGCAGGTGGAGCGCATCCACAACGGCGCACGTGCGGTACAGACAAAGGAAGCCGCTGTGGCCCAACGAGAGGAGGCTAACAAGCAGCGTGAGGCGGAGTTGCTGCTGCAGCGCGAGTGCCTCGCAAGCTGGGAGTCTGCGCTGCGCCAACAGCAGCGGCTGGTGGATGCGCAGAAGGCCAATGCTGCAAAGACGATTGCTACTGCACATGATGTGAGTGTGCGTGAGGAAAGACTTCGTGAAGCGGGGCGGCGCCTTTGTGAGCGTGAGGCTGCGTTATGGGAGACGGCAGCAGAGAAGGTGCCACAGGGCCGTGCAGAACTCCTGACGCTGATGACTATTCTCAAAAGTCTCCGTGGCGAGCTGCTGGCGTGCAAGCTCAGCAACCAGGAGACTTCTCTAGTGTAGTGGCGTGTGACACATTTAGAGGTGTACGGGCATGTGCAAGTCTGTCTCTCTCTGTGTGTGTGTGTGTGGCTACGCCTAGCCTACTGCTATTGCTGCTACTCACTTGCTGTTCCCTTTTCCCTTCCCTCTCGTTACCCGCGTCTGGGGTGAGGAACGGTGCTGTGTTGTTACCGTACTACGCCTGGGAGGGGAAGGGTGAGTGCGGGGTTCACCATCGACGCGGGGATAAACACACCTGGCGACTTTATGCGCGCCGGGGATGCGGCGCTCGAGAAGGTGAGTGAGGCGTTCGTAGAGGGTGCTGTGTCTGCCGCTGGTGCAGAGAGCCGCTGCAAACTGTGGTGCTGCACTTGTGGGACGGCAGCAGTAGCACGGCCGCTTTGCCACCTGACGCTCTTTAACACGGTGGTGCCGGTGGTGGTGTGCACGGCGCTAACAGGAGCTGCAGGTGGCTCTGCGCCTGCACCGTTCGGCCGCGGTGCTGATGGATATCTGCCACTACGGCCAGCTGTGCACGCGGAATGAACCACCGTTTCACCATGCGCGTTGCAGAACGGCGTTTTACTGCAACGTGGGCGGCCAGCGGAATGACTGGGTTGCGCACAGGTGGGCCTGCAGGGAGCCACTCAGGCGACGTGCCGACTCTGAGCGGTGATGAACAGCAATGGGACGCGCTCCTTCATCATTGTTGTGGCTTCTCTCCTTTATATATATAT